TATAGCATGCAAATATCAAAATTGTGCATTGTCTATCAAGAATACATCTCAATTCTCAACCACTAAATGATATCTGCTTGCTGGTAATGATATATCTGATAGTTGGGAAGTTTGATAGAAGCCAACTAACCCCGCAACAAGTGAGACTTTACGTGAATGAAGTGAACAACAAGAGGAAGGATCTTTTGCAGAAATACATCCAGCTAAGTACTGAAGCCAAGGTGTAATTTTATGACTCTCTTATGATATCTCTAAACCACAAAACCATATGCGAAAATTAAACCAATTATTTTTTCTCCTCAGGTAATGGCAGAAACGTTGCTTCTGGAGAGCAATGACACAGGAAAAGCCATTCTGGATCTCATATCTATTCTTAACCTAACCAACCTTGTCATTGGAATAAAAAAGCTACCCTATTCACGGTATGCTACCACTGGTTGGATTTCATTCATAAATTCGATGACAGAGGGTGTAAAATTTTATCTTGAGATGGAATTGTCCTGCTTGACACTTAACAAGTAATGCAACTATAATTTGTCAGAAAACCAGTAATCACGTATTTTTTATTAGAACAAAGTGAAAGTGACCTTGATAAGACAATGTCACAAGCACTTACTAAAGGTTAAGGATTAGTTAATCTTCTTTGACTAATTAGTTATCTTAATTATGTATATGAACACAGGCGCAATAACAAATTGAGCAAAGGAGAGTTCGTAATGAAAAATGCACCACAGTCCTGTGAAGTTACCTTGGTTTACAATGGCGAGGTGTTTGTGCCTGACCCTTACATGGATGGCTTGGCATCCTACGGCCTTGTATCACAAACTAAAGGTCACTCAAAATTCAACTTCTTTCAGTGTATGTGCTTTTCAGGCAAGTCCTCTTAACTACTAATCTCCGAGTCTCAAATAAATGTACTAAAATATATGCTTCTGGGTTCGGATGAAACTAGGAAGATTGAAAATAAGAATTGCAAATTAATGAATGCTTGATGAATAAGACTAAAAAAAGAGAGAGAAGATAGTGAAATTGTGGAGTTACAATCATCATGACAACATTTCTGAACTTTACTTTTTTATTCATTTTCATGAAAATTGTTCGAAAACGTATATTTGCGTTTGTCCTTCATTTCCTATCCTGATTCAACAGATAAGAATCAAATCCTTTTCATGTCTATTAAGAATCAAACCCTTCCCTTGCTTACAGGGTGCATGAGAGAAGACAAGGATAACTAGTACATTTCTCACACTAGCAAAAGCGAGCTGATTTGCTGAATGAAGCAAGCTTATGAAATCATGTTACAACTTTTGGTCACGAGGAAGGAGATAGAGCTCTCGAACCATAATATCTAAAGAAAACGTAGGATATTAGGATCGCAGAAGACTTATGTCCATCATATTTTTTATTTTTGGGAATAAAATTGTTGTCAATTTCACCAGTGAAATGGACATGGAAAATTCTGTTCAAAAGAGACGTGTTATTTAGACAATGTTATATTCTATAATTGGGTAATGTTGTATAAACAGTTTTATTTAATATGAATTACAATGTATTTACTTAAATTAGCTCAGTATTTGATTGGAGTCAAAAGAGTAATAAAAAGTAAGTGTATTTATCTTAAGATTTAGATATAATAAAATTTAGATATGTTTTTATTTTTAAGTTTCATCCCACATATGTATTATCTTTTTTCCAATAGTAATTGGATAATTCAAGGGTAAAGTGAGTCCTATCAAGATTTCCCCCCTCTAAAAGGGAAGCAAATGCAGAGAATCAAATTGAATGGGATTAAATAAAATAAAATGTATTTCAGCTAAATAATCTGTTTTTTAGGTAACAGTTATATTTTTTTCTATCCAAATTAATTTAAGCCGGACTTATATTAGAAGACTCTCATATCGTTATTTTTTCTATTCCGAATATTATTACTTTATATTGGGTATAAGCTATATAATGTGTTTTACTTCTTCTATTTGAGCAACATTTTAAATATATAATTAATAAATTGTAACAAAAAATGTATAATTAGTTGCTAAAATAACATGTAATTAAAAAAGTGATTGTTTATTAATATGAGTTAAGGACGAATACAGTTTGATTCAATATTATTAAAATCTTGCACCACTAGGGATAGCTAGTGGTGTTGGGTGTGTTTAGGGTGTATTAGGTGTGCGGTTCGATTTCCTGTAATGTCCAAAAAAAAAAAAAAATATTATTAAAATTGAGATTTTAAGTCAAATCGAAAAGTGATTAAAAAATCGTAAAACGTAAAATCGTAATGTAAAAAAATCATAAAACCGTATTGGAATATTGATAAAATATTTTGATAAAAAAAATCGTACAAACGTAAAATCGTAATGATAAATCGAGATTTTAACAACTATGGCTTAATTCGATTTGATTTTTTATGCCATACCGAGTCAAAAAAATTAAAATATTGTATTTTTAATAAATAATTATAAATAAGTTGTTGTTTCGAACCTATTTACGAATTTATTGTACTCATTCACGCCTAAATTATGCGTGAATCGTCTGGTGTTGACACATGTCACAAAAAGTTAATAGTTTAACCGTAAAACTTCGTAAGGCCATAACTTTTGACTTGAGTTTCCAAATCAGGTAATTCTTTTTTTGATTCCACATAACTTTTTGAGATCTACGCAATGACATCTTATTTGATATATTTTATCTCTCACAAACAAAGTTTAAATTTACAATAATGGTAGTATAAAAAGACTGGATTCGTTCGAAGCTTATGAATGGTTTTTAAGAATAAAATTTTTCTTCCTTAAAGATTTAGAATATTTATTTAATTATTTTCTTTATTAATACAAATCTTTCAAATTGGTTTTTGAGTTTAAATCACAAATCAAATCTTTATTTTGTTTTCCTTATTAATAATAATTTTTTTAAATTTTTTAATTTAAATCACAAACCAAATTTTTATTTATTTTTTATATTAAAAATTAAAAATTTTGATTTTTTAATTTAAATCATAAATCAAATATTTATTATTTTTTTGAATTGTTCATGGTTTTTGATTTTCTTTATAAACAAACACAGAACTCGGAGGCTTATGGTTTAAATGTTCTTATAATATCATTATTGTAAATTTGAATTGTTTATCTGAGAGATAAAATATATATCAAATGAGGTGTCACTGCGTAGATCTCGAAAAGTTTTGTAAAATCAAATTTTTTTTCACCTGACTTGGATACCTGAATCACATGTTATGGTTTTTCAAAGTTTTACGGTTCATAAGTTGACTTTTTTGTGTCACGTGTCAACACTAGATGAGTCACGCTCAAATTAGGCATGACTATCACGCTTAAATTAGACGTGAATGCCTTGGGAGTCACGCCTAATTTGGACGTGAATAATCACGTCTAATTTGAGCGTGAATGAGTGCAATAAATTCGTAAATAATTTCGAAACAACTATGTATTCGTAATTATTTATTAAAATAGTGATATTTTAATTTTTTGCCACCATACCGAATCAATTTTAAGTTGGTTCGGAAACTGATTTTATTTTTTTACAAAACGATTTAAATTTTTTTGTTTCAAACTAGTTTTAAGGTAAAATTAAAAATATTAATAGTTATGGGGGAAAAACGATTCAGTTAATTTCGTTCACAAACTGATTCACATAAAATGATTAGTTTCTTAATCTGGTTTTATATAAGGGTTTCGATTTTCTATGTCATAGAAGAAATTTTTTTCATGCTATAGATACATTTTATGTGGAACCCACATCTATTAAAAAAATAAAAAAATTGTTATGGAATATTTTCATATCCTAACCACCTACCCAAGGATCCCTTAAAGGATAATTCTCCAATTATCCTAACAATATAAAACAGTAAGGCAGTTAAGGATAGAGTCTCTATCCCAACAGAAAGGAAGTTAAATCCTACTACAACTGGGAGATCTACACAAGCCCAAGAGGTAACCCTTATAAATAAGAGGTTAAAGACCCAAGGTAGATATTCAGAACTCATTTACTACTTCTGCCCACACTGTGCACACACCCACCCCTTGGCTATAAGCCTATTGCTTGTGCGCAGTGATTGGGACATCGGCTATAAGCCTAGTATACACTTGATATACATTATCTCTGAGCGCATACCCTATGGTATAGCAATACGGTCTATCCAGGACTGAACAAAAACAAAATAAAATATTGTACAAGAATCGAAGGGTCGCTAGTAGGAAAAAATAACTCTTCTACGACATGAGAAAATAATTTTCCTTTATTTTATATAAGGTTTTAATATTTCTAAAGTGAGTATAGATAAGTTATCTATATTTACTTCCAAAACGATGTCGTTTCGAGTTGAAAAATTAAAAAATATAATGAAAAAGACTATAATAACGCTGAAATAAATTATAATTACAAAAATACCTTGATTTTCGTCTCAAAACGACGTTTTTTTAGGCTCAATGTAAATAAATTATGACCGTAGAAAAAACGAATCCTTTATATAAAACGATGTGATTATTAAATCAGTTCAAAACATATAATAATTTTTATAGAGTTGGATTCAAATCACAAATTGATTATATTCTTTTAAATGTTTTACATACCATTAATTAGAGTAATATTACACCTACTCACCTTTTATTTTATCTCCTTCAATTTAAACTCATTTAATCAAAAGCCAAAAACTAAAGGATTAACGTGGGCTTAATCTGAAAAGATCAGAATGACGAATGATCTTTTTTATTGCTAGAAATTAATAAAGGTATCGTAAAATTTGCTGAAGACTAAAAAAATATTTACTCAAATATTAATACTTCTAATTATTGCAAGGATTCAAATGACTCTATTGATTTTAATCAATTTCCATACTTAATGACAAATTTATGATTATTAATCATAGTGCTAAAAAAGAGTGATCTTAATTGAGAACGGGTGCTGATCTTAATTTCTAACCCGTGCTGATGATTTATCATTTAAAATTACAATATTAATTGGTGTGCGGGAGACGGTGGGGTGGTGACATTCAGAGGCGCAGTGACCTATACCGTGAGAGAGAGAGAGAGAGAGAGAGAGAGAGAGAGAGAGAGAGAGAGAGAGACGATCATATTCGAACGTGTTAAAAACCCAAAAAGAACCGTGTTCCCTTTCCATCCATCACAGTCTCATAGCAAATAGCAAACCAACTTGTTCATATTCCTCAATCTTCATCGCTCTCCCAAATTTCCCCTCTTTTTTTTTTACCGAAACCCTAGCTATGCACCCTTACGACAACAGATACTCCGACGCCACTTCTTTTCGCGACCGTCGCAGGTTCGTTCCTTCATTTTTCTTTTCTTTTCTTTTTTTAATTTTCTGTTTGTGATTCTTGAAATGAAAACAAACACGATTTCATCGTTCGTAGTGACCTGGTGCCGCCGTCTTTTGGCGGCCGCGGCGGTCCGCGTCCTTACGGTGGTCCTTACGCCGTATCTGGACCCAATGGTTTCGGATCCGGACCCGTCGCCCCGGTTCCGCCCTTTGTGCCCCCTCGTGGAGGCTTTGACGTTGGACGAGGTGGAAGATTTGCCAATGGTCGTGGTGGTGGTGGTGGTGGTGGTGGAAGGGGTCGTGGCGGTGGAAGAGGCGGAACTCACGGTTTTAGGGGCTCCGGGAGAGGAGGTAATGGAGGCAGAAGTTCCGGGTTTGGAGGTAGACATGGTGGTAGATCTTCTAAGGATGACTTGGACAATATTGCACTCCCCAAGCAAGATTTTAGAAACTTGGTCCCTTTTGAGAAGAACTTCTACTTTGAGAGCCCTTCGATTAAGGCCATGACTGATCATGATGTTATGCAGTACCGTGCCAGTAGAGATATCACCGTGCAAGGGCATGATGTGCCGAAACCTATTCGGATGTTTAATGAGGCAAATTTTCCTGGTATTTTACTTAGTTTATGCTCTTTGTGTTTGTGCTTGTTGATGATTCTTCTTGGTTCCTTTGTCTGACTGTGTACTCTATTGAGATGTTAGATTACTGCCTTGAGGTCTTTGCCAAATTGGGTTTTGTTGAGCCCACTCCAATTCAGGCTCAGGGTTGGCCCATGGCTCTGAAGGGTAGAGATTTAATTGGCATTGCTGAGACTGGCTCGGGTAAAACTTTGGCATATCTGCTTCCTGCTTTAGTGCATGTCAAAGCACAACCTCGATTGGGTATGAATTGGATTCCCTCTTTAATCTGTCAAAGGCAGAGTTTCCGCTTTATCTATGTGGTATAATGGATGTTTATGCTGCTTTTTCAGCACATGGTGAAGGTCCCATTGTCTTAATTTTAGCACCAACTAGAGAGTTAGCTGTTCAAATTCAAGAACAAGCTCTGAAATTTGGTTCACAGGCAAGTATTAGAAGTACATGCATCTATGGTGGTGCACCAAAGGGGCCTCAAATCCGTGACCTTAAAAGAGGTACTTGTTTTGCCTCTATGTATAATATGAATGGCCTATTTTATACTAATCATAATTGTGGAGTAACATGAACATGATGATTAACTTTTGGTACTTGGCAGGTGTTGAGATTGTTATTGCTACACCTGGTCGTCTGATAGATATGTTGGAAGCTCAGCATACAGACCTGCAGAGAGTGACTTATCTTGTCTTGGATGAAGCTGATCGAATGTTGGACATGGGATTTGAACCTCAGATACGGAAAATTATAGGCCAGGTACTGTTTAAAACTGTTGAAATTTTCATGATTTAGGTAGGGAAGGAGGAAGAGAGTAAAGGAATACTCAAAATAATAAATCTACGTTGATATTGATGTGAATGATGTGATATATATGATACAATAGATGAAGCACTAAGCTTCATTCATATTAAATACCGATAGAATACTCATAATCCTAATTAAATACAGAAATAAATCATATAATATAAAGATATATGATAACTGTTCCTAAGAGATTATCTTTGATATTCTTAAACTTTTATAAAATACGATCATTATATTAAGAGATATTCTTGTTAGTTGTTAAGGAAGAATGGTTTTGCACCTTGAGAGGGTGAATTGAGGTTTCTTTATGTCTAAGAAATTTAATCCCTTAAGGTCTCTTTACGGAGAAACTAATGTTCATGATCAAGAAACCACAAATGCACATTGAATTAATAAAAAAACATTGCAGAAATAAAGATTAAAATGCAACTATAACAACAAAAGTCAAATTAAAGATGAGGAATTTAAAAGATAAGGGATAAGAAGATCAAAAATAAGATTTATCCTGATTCACTCTCAAATCACAAGATTCTATTATGCACTATTTTCATATTTTTCTCATTCATAACATGCTTTGCTAAATGCTTTATATGCTTCATTCTTTTGAGGTAAGAATAATGTCCATGTATATCTAGATTAATCATCAATAATCACAAGAGCATATTAATTACCACCAAACATCGTTTTTCTTGTGGCCTATAACAACATTCTTACGTTTAAAGGAAGCTTCAATTTGTTCACTTTTTTGGCATGCATCACACATTTTATCTTTTTCAAATTTGAGTTTAGGAAGCCCAATTTCTAGGTCCCTTTTCACTAATTTATTTAGATAACCCATTCCAATCTGTGCAATACGTTTATGCCATAGCCTCAATTCATCATCTTTACTCAACAAGCATTTAGAGTCATATGAAGAAAACTCATCTAGTTCTAGCATATAAACATTATCAACTCTATGACCTATGAATTTAACTTCACCACCAAGCATATTAATAATGTTACATGTTAATGAGTCAAATGTTATTCTAAGTTGCTTATCACATGATTGACTAATGCTTAGAAGATTATGTTTCAAGTCTGCAACAAATAAAACATCTGTTAGTAAGTAGTGAAAGAATTATCAATTTTATATATACCAACAATAAAACATCTGTTAGTAAGTAGTGAAAGACTTATCAATTTTATATATACCAACAATTTTGCCTTGGTTGTTATCTCCATATGTGACATGTTCATGTTGCTTCATGATGATGGATGAAAACCTTATTGTATCTCTAGTCATGTGTTTGGAGCATTCATTATTTTAGTAATATTTTGAGCTCTTTGCTTTCAAATACAATTGTACCTACAAAAGTAACAAAACAAGTTTATTCAATGAATTTTTGGTACCCAAATTATTCTGGGTCCTTGCTTAAAGGTTAGTTTAGGACATCATTGCATTAAACCTTTTCCTTTATTTAGGGAAGTAGCTTGTTTGTTCTTTTGGATATTTTTCTTCCTGAAAAAATTGCTATATTTTTTTATGAAAAGAGTCATTTCATCCATATCAATTTCCTCCTTATCCAATTCATTTTGTTGATCCTTTGGAGTAGTAAACTTGAGAGAAATTCTCTTCATCTTCTTTCTGGGTTAATCTCTTATAGCATGTCTCTTTATTTCAAATTAATATTCTTGAAGTTTCCCAAATAGCTAGACATATTAGATAGGTTCTTTTGCTTCATATATAGCCGAAACTCGTGTCCCATTTTTTGGTCATGCACCTCAATATCTTGTGACAAATTGCTTATTATTGTAACGGATACCTAAGACATTCAATCTTGAAATGATGTGAGTAAAACGTTTTTGTAAATCATAAACATTCTCCTCATCAAGCATTTCAAACATTTCATATTCTCTAGTGAGAGCATTTTATTTTGAATTTTTAACTTCATTTGTTCCTTCATGTGTGACCTTTAAGGTTTTCCATATTTCCTTAGCAGACTTACAAGAAGCAATCCTGAAGTACTAATATCTTCCTAGATTATTAGTTATAAGTTTCTTTGCCTTGGCATTCCATTGAACCTCTTTACGTTTCAATTTACTATAGTCTTTTATCTTTTTTGGGAACCCATTGTTATTTTCATCAAGAATGGTGGGGAACTCATATCCTTCTTCAATATTATTCCAAACTCTTAATTCAACCGATTCAAGAAAGATTTGCATTCTAGATTTCTATGATGGGTAATCGGTTCCATTAAAGAAATGTGGCCTATTAGTGGAACTACCTTCAAGGGGCAACTCATTATTATTAAGAGAAGTCATTTTCTGGTATCTTTATCTCTAGGTGATTAACACTTTGTCTTGTGCTTCATTGATTAGATCAGTGTCTTATTAAAATGTTGCAGTAATATTTATTACACATAATCAAACTCCACACAGAATCAAACTCCTTGAATAGGATAGAAACCCTAATTAATCACAAATATCAACCTCAAATAATTTTATTTTTGACTGTCTACATCAACAATTGAGTCGTATAGGTCTTATGTTGGAAAAAAATGAGCTGGTGGAACATGAAAATTTGGAATATAAATACATATCCTATGCTTTCTTGGTACAAAAGATATATGGGATTTTTTAAAGTGGACTGCAACTTATTTTCTCTACAAGTCATAAGTTTTGGCCCCTCTTCCCATATCATGAAAGTAAACTCTATGAATTTCCACCCATTTGCCATAATCAAAGCTTTTCATGTCACTTCGTTTTTTATCCCCTTCCTTTTTCCCAACTTCCTTACCAAGCGTACCCTTTAGCCCTTATTCTAGGATCACTCATGAGCTACTGGTGTATACTACTGTAACATATTGAGTCCGTTAGCTTTAGAGATACACTTAATCAGTTACATTGGTGATTTCAAATAACAGATTCGACCAGATAGGCAGACATTATATTGGAGTGCTACATGGCCGAGGGAAGTTGAAACTCTGGCAAGGCAGTTTCTGCGCAACCCATATAAGGTTACTGCAATAGTTTTTCCAATTCATATGTTCACAATCATTTATGGACTTCTGTTCTCGTTCGTTATTGATTTTTTCAACAATTCTTTTTTGTTATGCTATGCATTAACTTAATTAAACCTTATTTAGGTGATTATTGATGAGTGTGTTTTCCTGTGGGATATCATGATCTTATAGGTAATTATTGGGTCATCAGAACTGAAAGCAAATCAATCTATCAATCAAGTTGTTGAAATAGTTACAGACACGGAGAAATACAATAGGTTTGTATCCTCACTGGTAGTAGAGAGTGACCAATGTTTTTGCTAACCACATTAACACTCCAGCTTTGCAAATGCAGATTGATCAGACTGCTGAAAGAAGAGATGGATGGGAGCCGAATTCTAATATTTATGGAGACAAAAAAGGGTTGTGACCAAGTTACTCGACAATTGAGAATGGATGGATGGCCAGCACTATCCATTCATGGTGATAAAAATCAGGCTGAAAGAGACTGGGTCTTGGCTGAATTTAAGAGTGGCAGAAGTCCAGTAATGACTGCCACTGATGTTGCTGCACGGGGTCTTGGTAGGATCACTGTGTGTTTAGAATCTTAGGATTTTTGATATAGGTCTAAAACTTTAACCATAGGCGAGTCGGCCGGCTGCTGTCCAGTTCCCCTTGATATAATTTGTGGTTTGGGTGTGTGTGGGGGCCATATTGTCAATGTGTTGGAACTGCCTTTAACTTGACCACGGGATTAATGAGTTGCATTCAGAGATGAAATTGTTTTGCTGCAGTCAGTAGACTACCTGCTGCTGTTAATTTGGGAACTATCTTTTTTAGAGATGTCAAGTTATCTTGATGCATGGGGCAGAGTTCCATTGATATGGCTTGAATATTGATCTATAATTTCTGAGGTAGTATATCATTTGATATCCTATAAATTTCATAAGATGGGTTAATGCGTGGCAATGTACATGATTGGCAAAACAAGGTTAGTTACCTATAATTTGCTAGTTTTGCCTAAAGTGATACAAGTCATACAACTTTTGTCCGCTTTTAAGAACATTGTCGATTTGATTGATCCCCATCCACAGTTATAGAGCTGGTTGTCTTTGCAGCCCGGTTGACTCATACATGCTTAGTCGATAATTGGATGTGGTAGATGGCAGTGATGGTGAAGCTGCTCCTTATCCCTGAAAGGTTAAGGTGGGCACATTGATGTGATGAATGTGTTGACTCGAGTTTGATCTCTAAAATCTTACGGGGCAGGGATAAGGATTTTTGCAGTTATCTCCATTTTTCAAGCCTTGCACTTTATTCCTGATGATGTCTTACATTGTTGCTTGCAGATGTGAAAGACATAAAATGTGTGATCAATTATGATTTTCCATCAAGCCTGGAAGATTATATACACAGAATTGGTCGAACTGGTCGTGCAGGTGCTAAAGGAACTGCATACACCTTTTTCACACATGCCAATGGCAAGTATGCTAGGGATCTGATCAAGATTTTACAAGATGCTGGTCAGGTTGTGGGTCCTTCATTGTCAGCATTGGCTCGGTCAGCTGGTTCGGGTCAATTTGGTAATTCACTTTCTTTTTAACACTGAAGTCTGAGGGTTTTTATTGGGATGATGTTTAATTAGTTCTTATTATTTTGTAGGGTCTAAGGGAAGCTTTCGTTCTAGAGGACGAGGAGGCTATGGCAATCGGGGTCGGGGTTCAATATCAGGATCTAATACCATTCCTATAGGAGGTTTAAAGAGGCCTTGGCAGGGTATGTATTAGGTGCTGCCTTGGCCAATCTCTACAACTTTTATTTATATAAACCACATTTTTTTTTCTTTGGGGGGGGCAGTTTGCCCGTATTACGTTTGAAACAACACATTAATTGTTAGCTTTTAGGAAGAAAAACAATTAATCTTACAATGACTAAAGTCAACAAGGTATGTGTTGTAAATGACTGATACTTGTAACCTAATTTGTTGGATTTACCCACTCGCCCTTCTAATTTGCATTTTGTTATTTTAGCGTGCCGACCATTCTTTTTAAGTTTTGATGCTTTTTCATAGTAAGCAATGAGTTAATCCGATTGGTGTATTAGGTCAGGTAGCCGAGGCAGGTGACTATCATTATGGATTGTTGAGATATATAAAACCATTAATATAGTCTTACTCAAGAACTTAAACTTTTGGGTTGAATTAGTTCTTTATATGGTATGAGAGCTTCATGTCTCGGGTTCGATCCTCGCCGCCTCTCATTTTCTTTTCGGTGGAATTTCTTTATTCTCATATGTAGGTGGACCTGTGCATTGTCCACGTTTTAAGCGCAGTGGGCTCTCGTGTGAGGGAGTGTGTTGAGATATATAAAATTATTAATATAATCTCACTTAACAACTTAAGTTTTTGGGTTGAATTGATTCTTTATATGAGTTAAGCGTAATTTGTTTATCAGATCAACTTAAGCTTAGCTTTCGATTGAATTGGTTCTTTATATGGGTTAATCGTAATTTTTTATTGGAGTAGGTGAGGGTGGGATGGGTTAAATGTGGACGATCAGCCAATATCAAGCATCGAAATGTGCCTGAATAGCTATGAGGATTCATAATCAATAGATTCTTACTTTGGTTCACTTTCTGTTTATATTAGCTAACAGGCTATCGTTGGTTTTGTTTTTAATTGCTTGTGGTCGATAGTTGATAATGATATTTCAAATCATAATCAACAGATTCTTATTTAAAGAAAACTGGGAGGATCTTGATTCCAAGTTCTTAATTTTTTGGTGATTATGGATTTATGGTTTTTCATTGGTAGATAATTTATAAGTACCACTAAAAGTTTTCTGTAAATATCACTGTTTATTAATTGTGATTACAGTAATTGAGAACATCATATCATGTGATAATTTTCCAATTTAAATATTTATATTTAGGATTATTTTCTCACAAGTCAGTTTGAAAGTAGTACATAATGTCATTGGAGAGCAAGCACCTAGGAATGGGAATGAAATGAAAACGGCTTTTGGGAACGAAGATAAGTATGATGATTTAGATAAGGGTCTTTTAGCCAAGTAAGATGAGTTGTTTTGACCCAATATTTTTCACTAAAAGGAGCACATACTGGATATTACCTGGCATGCCCTTTACATTCAGTCTAACACAATTTTCTCACCTCCCTTGGACCTAGTTTGCTGAGCTGCGTTATCTACATTTCAATTACACGATTAATCTCCATCCATGGCTTGAAAATTGGCTATCTCAAAGCTGACTCACTAAGTCATCTTGTAATCATCACTTCTTTTCAAACAAAACACACATTATCACTACATCACACTAAAACGGGTGGCCAACTCAATCCCTCTTGTATTTGTTTTTGTGTCTCCTTTCAGCCTCCAAGAGGTATGGCACTCTAGGACCTTCATCAACCTTAACATATTCTTCTTGGTAAGTATGAGATTACCTTTTTTTTTTTGGATAAACCATAGTAATCATATTCAGGGCGGGTTCATAATTACGACTTTAAGATACTGCAATCATGAGATTACCTTTTTAAAGTATTGCAACCTCCACCCTATTCGTTACCAATAGACCTATCTTATAAGTCCAATGTACCAGACAGTAATCTAATAGATTATCAAACCTCAAATATCATAACCATTATGAGTGTGTTAGTGGTGATAGGTTTAGATAGTTTAGATAAAATTTTAGGTTCAAAATTCGTATCCTCATTGTAATTAAAAAAAAAAACTCAAATATCAATCATTACTCTTAAGTCTATAGTGTCAAATTAGTAGAAAAGATTTTATTTTATTTTATATATACCAACTCTACTTACCTCTTTGAAGGTAGTCGGTTCTCCAAGTATTCCCATAAACTTCAATTATTTGAGCCGATTATGAGACTAATTTTAAATTGGGGCTTTGTCATAATTAAAATTTATCACCCCTCTTCAAATATATATTTGGTAGGAATCAAACCTAGGTTTTTTTCTCACTCTATTTAGCCGTTGCCAACTAAACTATACCCGTTGAATTGTTAATTTAGTGTAACAAAATGCATCTCATACATCGGCTTGTTCATTTAGAGAAAATAATTTTCCTAATTATTAACTCAATATTTAAATATTTAATGTCGAATGATCAAGGATAGGGTTGATTATAGATCAATTTTGATCTAACCAATTTTATAGTTGGGTTGATTTTTATTTAATTTGTACTAACTTTTAAAATTAATTTATTTAGATATCAAATTTTATTTTCTCAACTTGATTAAATTCAAACTAAATCAACATAATAAATTTGTTAAAAGAAGAAGTCAATTTGATCATTTCAGCCAAACAAATTCAACTAAGATTGAGTTGGGTTGGATAAGGTTAATAATAATAATTTATTTAGTCCAACATAACATCACCTAATTTAATTAGTTTAGCTTTTATTTTCATCTAAAACCAACTTAATCCGACTTGTGATCATAAAATTTCAAGGTAGAAAACGTAATTTCTCATTCATTTTAAATATTTTACTCTCTCTTTTCCCCCCTTTTTAAGATGCACGGTTAAAAGCTTTCAGGCAAACCAAATAAGTATACATGCATAACTTTGTCACGTAATTACACGAGAAACCTTTTGGATATTAATATACAGGAAATTTTTTTGTTTTTCTATAAGGATGTATTACCTGTGATATAATAATAATTAGAAAAAAATTCATCAATGTCGTGTGTTTGTTTCAGAATTATCTATGCTTTAATAATTTTTTTTAATCACATATATTTTTGTGCTTTGTAAAAAATAAAAAATCACAAGAACATGTGTGATAAAAAATATACTCCTTAACAAATTAGGAGGACATATATAATAAAAAAATCACAAAAATATAAGTAATTCTCAAATAAGTTAACTTTTTCCTAATAATTATTGAATTAGTTGAGAGGGGTCAAATTAGTAAATCAACAGAACGCGCTCGGTTTATAAAACCCGAAACCCTAATTGGTGTCTTTCGGCCGCTCAGTAGATAGTGGGAGAAGAGAAAGAGAAGAAAAATGACGACGAGGTTCAAGAAGAACAGGAAGAAGAGAGGCCACGTCAGCGCCGGCCACGGTCGTATCGGAAAACACCGTAAGCACCCTGGAGGTCGTGGTAACGCCGGTGGCATGCACCACCACCGAATCCTGTTCGACAAATATCACCCCGGTTACTTCGGGAAGGTTGGAATGCGTTACTTCCACAAGCTCCGCAACAAGTTCTATTGCCCCATTGTCAACATCGACAAGCTGTGGTCTTTGGTTCCCCAAGAGGTTAAGGACAATCCTTCTAAGGATAAGGCACCATTGATCGATGTCACCAACTTCGGGTTCTTTAAGGTTTTGGGCAAGGGGGTTTTGCCACAGAACCAGCCCCTCGTCGTTAAGGCCAAACTCGTTTCCAAGATTGCTGAGAAGAAGATCAAGGAGGCTGGAGGTGCCGTTGTCCTCACCGCTTGATCTTAACGGTATTCAATTTTAAAATTTATTTGAAATTTAGGGTTTTGAACTGTTGCGATCTGTAGTGACTTAGTTGTAATATGAGATCTCATGTTTTAGTCTCGTTTTTTATGCTGAATGTTTTGAATTATCATTTTTGTTTTTTATTACTTAACAAAGTGAATGGATGCTGTGTGTTTTTGTTTTAACACTTATCTCTGTTAATTAGACTAATATGCGTATTAGAATGGTCGCATTAGATACTCTGATGCTCCTTCTTCTCGTTGCTTCTGGAGTACATTTGGGTCTCAGTTATATTATTCACATTTTGTGATGGACAAAATAACTAAATAGGTTATTTTGTCATTTAGTTATCATTAGGTTATTACTTAACAAAGTGAATGGATGCTGTGTGTTTTTATTTCATTCTCGTGCACCTTCTCATTAGGGCCTGTCTAGAATGACATTTCTAGTTATCATCCTTCTACTTCATAATCCAATGCTGAATTGAACCTACTGCTTGTTGGACTGATGCTCATGTAACTCGCCACGGTTCTATACATGTTATGTATGTATGTGTGCGTTCGAATGCATCCCATTCATTAAAAATCATGAGCATATGGTGTGAAAGATGATAATTTTACCATTCATAATGCTGATTTGGAATGAGGCAGCTTGAGCTGAGCTTTCTTCTCCATCCTGTGTTTGTGGCGACAAAGGTTAAACATTTTATAGAAGTAGAAACAGTGCTGTAGTGAGCAATGCATATAGAAAAATTGAAAACCAGTAATACTTCAACCCATGGTTAGATGTCAATATTCATTTGTAGTCTTTTTCTTTTTTTTCACCTGTTAAAGTTTCGAAGAATGAATGTATTGAGTGCTTGTTTACCACTCTAATATACTGTTGGACTCCTTCTGTCTCCATCCTTAATTTCTTTAGGATTAGGCGTCTCATTGAGGATGTGTTTGCAAAAATATATAATGCTGGTTTCAGTCTTTTAGTGCTTGCTAAACTTGTTGCAGTGGGCCCGAAACCAATGGAATGTAATTAGCACTGCTGAAAGCCCAAGACTGGCCCTTGAACTAAGATTTGTGTTACCGTTACATTCTTGGAAAGGTTGATTACCCATCAGATGTTCTCACCAATAAGCCTCTTGAAATGACAAGTAAACAATTAATAAAAAAACGCCCAGATGAGAATAAATGAGATAGATAGAGGAGAATTTTGTCATATTCGTTCAACTTAATCAATTAAATCTCTTGTTTCTTCCCTTTCTTTTTCTTCCCTTTCTTTTGTCATATTCGTTCAAGTGGTAGAGGAAAAAAAAATTTTATCCGGGAATTACGATTTCCAGAAATATGATGGGAAGATGAATTTTTTGAAAATATTAACAAAAAGTTGTTTGGTAGATTAAAATATTTCTGGGAATATTGGATTAATTTTCTTAATTCTATATTTATTTGTATTAAATTTTTTCTTGCCATAGAAATTCTAGAATACCATTCCCTGGATAGTATTTCTGGATGATATTTTCAAAAAAAAATACACACAAAATAAAATTCCTAGAAAATCAGATTTCTGGAAAAATTTTAAAAATCTTATACCGAACGTGAGTAAATATGATTATCATTACCTAATACCAAACGGCCCTAAGTGGGGAGGGGATATTTTATTTCGATATTGAAAGATGCTATAAGCGAGAATTCACAGATGTCAAATAAGCGCGCTGTTGCTTTGCTTTCTGTATCCTGTATTACAGGCAAAATATTAAGGAAACAATGTTTTGTCTTTTTAACGATGCTAAAATGACTGTTTTTTATTTAATATTTAAACTAAAAATAAAATTTCATTTTCTTTCATCATGATTTTTATTGTTTAATTTTTTTCTTTCATTATAAAATATTGTAGTTTTGATTAAAATAATATAATTTTATATCCTTTAAAAGAATAAACACTAATACCAAATATCAAATATAAAATTTTATATTTTCATGTACTTCAAATGTACACGAACTAAACGCTCCTACATTGTATTTAGTTAGAATTAGCGTTGGTGTAGTAGTAAACTGCAATTGTTTAAGAATAACAAGTAATGTCTCTTGAATAGTAATAAGTGGATTGCTGGATTTCGAACAACGAATTTTTAAAACTGGTAAGGCTATTGGGTGAATGTTAAAAAATTTCACTACCCGTATTTTACTTCAATTTCTAAAACCAATTCTATATTTGTATTCAATTTTATTCAAGATATAGATATTCAAAATGTCTAAGATACTTAAAATAGAAATTATGGATATTGGATAACGAGTATCCAATACCGAATATTTATATTATTTATACATTCAAAAAATCCTAAAATGTTATTCATACATAAAACTACTTAAATGCTCATAAAATTACTTAATTTTCTGCCACGGCAATAGATAAGATATCTCTGTCATGGAGATATTCTTTTTTTAAAAAATAAATAAGATACACTAATTAAAAAAAAAACAATTACATGGTGCATTCCTGGCATGCACTCTGTGCGATAGAAAACTATTTCTGCAGTAAAAGTAGCGGCAATAGATAAGATATCTCTGTCATGGAGATACATTTTAAAAAAAAATAAGATACACTACTTAAAAAAAAACAATTACATAGTGCATTCCTGGAATGCACTCTATTGGACAGAAAACTATTTCTGCAGTAAAAACAAAAATAGTTTTATATATATATATATATATATATATATATATATATATATATATAATATATAGAGAGAGAGGGGGAGGTAAAATGATTTGTCGTGTGATTGGATCTAAGATTTGGTGCACTTAAAAAATTATAACTATATATTACGGTTAGTATATAGTTATAATATTAAAATTATTTTTTTCTCCTATATCACTCGACTTACTGAGGAGAAAGAAAGAAAAAAATACTTTTAATATTATAATTATATATTATCCATAGTACATAGTTAAATTTCTGAAGAGAGAAAAAAAAAACAATTTTTTTGTTGGTAAAAAAAAACATAATTTTAATATTATATCTATATATTACTCGTAGTATATAGTTATAATTTTTGACTGCATCAAAACTTAGATTAAGTCACTGTACATCCGCTAAAAAACACACACACACACACACATATATATATATATATATATATATATATATATATATATATATATTTTGGAAAATGAACTTAATCCAAATTGTCTTGCTGATGCAAATAAATAGTTGCTAACGATTCATCAATTAGCAATGTTAGCAAACTCTAAACTTGGAGAAGATTTTGGGTGCAAAATGGATATTGATTGAAGTGTTTAAAATCCAGTATTTTTTTTTTTTTTTTGGAGGTTACAAGGAATTGAACACAACACCCTACACTACACACACTCCTAACACACTCACCCGACACTACTAGGCTAACCCTAGTGTAAAATCCAGTATCTGATGCAGATGACTGATAGTATATGGATGGAAAGCAATAATAAAGACTTATGGTCCAGATCGATGTTGACTTGGTCGTAATTAATAGTTGGTTACTATTGTTTAGTCAACTTGTCAGACCTCAAGATTGTGTGTATTTCTTGTTTGGCCATATTCAATCACCAAATATTCCCAAGACTGAATGAATGCTATGAACAATTGGACATGAAAGTCGAAACATCAGTCCTGTAAATTTAATTGATAAGATATTTTTTAGAAGAGCTGAAAATACTGGTTAAAATCTTCAGCATCATACATTTGGAAATTTTTTCTATACATCGGATGTATCTAAGTAGATATATTTGTTTTATCAAAAAAGAAAGTTTTCTTCCTATTTATCCATATTACTTTAAATTTTCCATCAAATTCCAAATTTTACTATTTTTGGATAGATATATTATGTATCTGATGCACCAAAATTTTTTCTATACATCATATGTATTCAAGTGGGTATATTTTTTTATTAAAAAGAGAAAATTTTCTTCCCATTTATCCATATTACTTTAAGTATTTTTCATCGATCCCAAAATTTTACTATTTTTGGACAAATATATAGTGCATCTGATGCACCAAAAAAGTGCTCCATACATTCATAGTTATTGTTATTATTTTTGGTAAAAACATTCATAGTTATTTATAGTTAATGATTACTGCTTCTCATGTTCCTACACGCAATTTTTATGTGTGTATAAATGATAAAATTATCTATTACTACATAAGAAATTTTGAACACTTTTTAAAAAAAATAAACTTATTGAGTATATATATATATATATATATATATATATATATATATATATATATATATAGGGTTTAGCGGATGTAAAGTGACTGCACCTAAGGATTGATGCAGTCATATAAAACTACGTAGTTTTATAGTATGAAAGCATTAAATATGGGAAATTATAACCATACAAAGACAGAAATAAATATAAAGCATTAAATATGAGAAATCATAATCATACAAATGTGGAAATAAATATAATATTTCCATTTTCTACAATTAATTTTGAACGCGAACTTTCTTTATCCCAACCAAAACGACGTAGTTTTTAGGTGACTGCACCAATACTTATATGCAGTCACATTACAAATCATTTAGTCATATATATATATATATATATATATATATATATATATATATATATATATATATATATATATATACAAACTGTTTGTTTACAAACTCTTACAAATTACACTATGTTTTCCCGGGAGAACACTAGGTTACACTATATTCTCCCGGGAGTACATAATGTAATTTGCAAAAATTGTAAAAGATGTTTGTAAACGGATCCTTCCTCGTTATATATATATATATATATATATATATATATATATATATATATATATATATATATATAAGTCAAAATCATTTTGCGCCAATATAAATGGAGGAAGGTCATACTTGCAACCTATTTTCGTTTATAATCTCTTACAATCATATCTTAATCGTTAATTTTCATCAATATATGATTATTATTTATTGCGAATTAATAATTAATTAATGAATTTAATTTGTAAAAATAATAATCATAGATTGATGAAAATCAATAGTTAAAATATAGTTATGAGAGGTTGTAAACGAAAACAGATTGTAAGTTTTTTCAAGTGGCTTCAGATTGGTTTTTTTTAACCCCTAGAAGCAGAACTTTGGGGAATCCTTAAAGGGTTGGAGATGGCTTTGGGTACTGATACTAAAAGAACTGAATTAGAA